TTATGTTATGTTATGTTATTTTATGTTATAGATGTGTATAAGAGACAGATGTTATGTTATGTTATGTTATGTTATGTTATGGTATTTTATGTTATGTTGTGTTATTTTATGTTATGTTATGTTATTTTATGTTATGTTATGGTATTTTATGTTAAGTTGTGTTACTTCTGTCTCTTATACACATCTCTATAGCGGTGCCTATTAAATAGGTCAGGATGACACGCACCAGAGCGCAATTGGACAGTCGCTATTCGGATAAATTCTCACTCATTTTTCTGTGAGGATTCGTTCGCATATAATACTTCACCTACTTAACTACATCGAGTTATTTCTGTATCTAATATCACAATTAAATTGTACGAGCTTTCGCACCTTCAATTAAAATACTCAGTTACCTAGAAAGCCTTAATATAGACGTCCGAATGAATTCTTCAAATTAGGATCAATTATGCAAATGATGCATTAAAATTTTTACTAAAATGGTATGTTGCCTGAAAAAATATAAAAGTTAAGGTTATGGTCACCATAAATCCAGTCGCTTAACTTATAACAACAAAGTTTGGGGCAACATCATAGTGGTTACATTATAGCCTGGTAAATTATACTAAAGTTTATTTAATAAACTGACCTGATTTCTTCTTCGGCCACTCGGTCTCCTTGTCGAACCTGACGTCCTGGTAGGGCTGCTCTGCCACCGCCAGCACCCAGCGGATGGGCTCAGCGCGCCCCCTCAGGTTAAAGTACTCTAGTCTGTACTCCGGTGACGTCATGAGTACCTGCGAGCACAGCACGGTACTTGATGTGTGGTACTGATGAGGGTATATGGTGACGTCATGAGTACCTGCGAGCACAGCATGGTACATGGTGAGTACCTGCGAGCACAGCATGGTACATGGTGAGTACCTGCGAGCACAGCACGGTACATGGTGAGTACCTGCGAGTACAGTACGGTACATTATATGTGGTACTGATGAGGGTTTATGTTAATTTCGTGTTAATCATTTATTAAAGTTGAAATTCAGCTCAAGTCTCTAATTATAGAAATTTAAGAGAATGGCTTCGCGGGTAACTAAATATTTCTTCCTAAATATACATGCAAGTTTGTTTCATTGTCTCATCAAACCTGTATTCTAGTCGCGCTATTACACTCATCACGTCACGATACAACAGTCAATATTCAGATATTCGATATTCTTTATGCAACAAGGCGCACAAAGAACCAATTTGACGATATACAAAGCCTTCAATGGTAAAATATAGTAACAACTGAATCATTGTCACGTGCTGATCACAAGTAGAACATAGAATCAAGCACGAAACAAAATACATTCGGTTTGTTAGTCGGTAAAGATACAACTCAATAAAAATGTCTGCGTGATGAAATAAACAACCAAGTTTATAGTCCGTAGTTCAAAATGGCGATATAAAATTGGAGCTAACATCTCGATCTCGATCTTAAAACAAAATATAAATATCAGAGCAAAAATTTTAACGGAAAAAGATAACTGGGTTTGAGACTCAGAGGAAACCTGGGCTGAATAATGGGCATTTTGGATGCCATTTCCTTGGGATTCAAAGATTTGCGAGACTCGTAGTTTTAAGAATATTTTTTCTTCTGGAAAATAATATTAGACCGGAGCAGCAAAAGTGTGCCGGAAGCTTTCACGAATGAGGGTGTATAGACAACCAGGTGTATAGACAACCAGGCGTATAGACAACCAGGCGTATAGACAACCAGGCGTATAGACAACCAGGCGTATAGAAAACCAGGTGTATAGACAACCAGGCGTATTGAAATTAAATAATCAAAACCAATACAAAAATAAATTGAAGATCGCTAAGTTAAGAGACAACTGTATGGTCCTAGGGCGGACTGTATGCATGGCGTTTAAAATTTTAGCAGCTCATGGTACAGGTCAACTTCTTCCTGAACGTAGCAAACACGTTCAAGTAACCCTTCTGAAAAATGATTGCGAGTGACCTGGGTCATTTCAAAACGAAATAATTAATGGCTTAAATTGAGCGTGAATACCACCATAAAGCCTTGATAAAGACGTCTTGCTAAATTGGGCTAGAGTGCACGCACTTCGATATCTCAAATCAAACATTGAAGCCATAAAAAAGCCAGCTTGTAAAAAAAGCCAGCTCGAAAAAAAGCCAGCGTAGAAAAAAGCCAGCTTGAAAAAAAAACAGCCTCTGCACTAGCGGGTAGGAAGCTGCTTGTGTAAACTGATCTGTTTGTGTACCTATGCGCTCTCGCGGGAGCGTAAGTGGAGGCATACCTGGGGCCATACTTTCAAAACTCGCTAAGTGAACGTAAGTACTTACGCTCTATTTTCTTTTCTATGATTGGTGGATTTTGCTTGAAAGGCCGTCAGTGATTGGCTTATGAACTTACGATCTCTTAACATTTTTTGAAAGTATAGACCCTAAACCAGATACCGGCGGCTTCTGCGTCAGCAAGCAAGACAAAACAACTCCTGAAAAACGACGCAATCTGGTTCACGAGATTTGGTGTCGCGAGCCTGAGGAAAAACAAGCAGGTACTAATTATGGATGGTCATGAACAGCCTTCCTCGTGAAGCATGAGGCTGGGTCTTTTTTGTTACCTTCGACAAGCGAGGAAATTGCTCCAGATAACTCCCACTGACCAGAAAAAAAGGTGAGAGGGAATCTGCCCACGTGATTTCAGTGACAACACTCGCGAATTTCCGTAGATTAAAACTGAACACAGATATGGAGTCGTAAAATAGGCACCACAAGTTAGAAATTAGAATGCAAAAGGATTGATAATATACAAAATTAGTTTAAGTTTGATAATTAGGACCAAATCTTAAAATTCAAGTTAAAATTACCTGATATTTGGCTTCATTCGATCAAAATCTTCGCAGATTACAAGATCTCAACACAAGTATCAGGTTCTACATGTCTGATTTCAGCCCCCGAAGCATATGGGTTCGTTGCAGGTTTCTGCATGGTGCGCCAGTAAATCTGCGTAATTCTTCTGATCGACAGCGAGCCATTCTTCTAAAGCAGGAAGAAAAACTTCAGGAAGCCCCGGAACAAAGCGAAAAAGTTTCTTTCTCATAACAACAAGGCTGAGTATCATACACGGAGCGCATGGAGAGCAAACTAAGACCGCGAAAAATGGATATTTGGGTTTGACTGCCGCGTAAAAAGCTTTCCCCTGTCATCCACGACGCATTTTATGTGAATGAATCACTCATGCGAATGGTCGAATGAACTGAACGACCAGAGCCCAAGGCATCAGGAACAATAACGCTATGCCAGGAGACATTGTAGACTAGATTCATGAATTTTTGTATTACATACAGAACGTGTGTAACATTCGAATGTTTTTACATCATCGAAGCTAATGAAATAAATATTTCATAACCACGTAACCTTGGGGCAGGTAAAGAGAACACAGAAAAGCGTTCGGTTGTCATCGATCCTGGGGGATGTAGAGGTCGGTGAGTCCTCGAGTGACTACAGTTCCAAGTGTATAACACAGCTCAAAATTTGACCAATTGGAAGAACTTATAAAAATAGATTGAGAAAAGCGAGCTGAAAACTTACTTTTGTAATATATCCCCCCCCCCCAAAAAAAAAACTAACGAGTTTAATTTTTTTCTTTTCTGATCAGTAACTAAAAAATCATGCACAATACTATGGACGCTTTTGTTGGTTAAGCAGATGAATTTGGAATAGTATATGGGTACGTTGAACTCTTCGCATCATCGCTGTAATTAAGTATAATTAAGGATAAGTATTGCTGTTTCACATTGCATTGTGATAGGAAAATCATTCACGAACTCAATATTCGAACTCATTTGCTTTTAGTCGAATTTTGCAGTGTACACGCTTAGGAAAACGGATACAATATTTTCATTGCATTCGTATTTTTTGATGAGCTTTTGTAGTGCAAACCTCCTTTTAGCGAGAAAACCATTTAATTCTTGCATTAATAACGGCATGTGGGCAGTCTCGCGACTCAAGAGTTGCTCGCGCCTGACCTGTTGGCTAGATCTGATCCAGTATCACAAGATCAACATGCAAGGATCTTTATCGTAGACACATGATAGCGCCACACAAACAGTGATAATGGCGTCATCTCCCGAGTTTTGCTTACACGCGTTGCCAGCCGAAGCATCTTCACTATATTTGTGTGGAGAAAATAGCAGAAGTAACGTTAACGCCAGTAAAACGCCCGGAATTGGTGGTATCAAAAACTTGCAGAGTCAAAATAAAATCACGTTTCCGCAGGAAAAAAAAATCTCAAAGTAATTTGAACACGCATTTTATAGCGCACGGTGAGGGTGGTCCAGTACAGCAGCGTGCCCTGACACTGGTGCTTGATGGGCATGCAGGTGCTTGTCCTGACACTGGTGCTTGATGGGCATGCAGGTGCTTGTCCTGACACTGGTGCTTGATGGGCATGCAGGTGGAGTGTCCTGACACTGGTGCTTGATGGGCATGCAGGTGCGTGTCCTGACACTGGTGCTTGATGGGCATGCAGGTGGAGTGTCCTGACACTGGTGCTTGATGGGCATGCAGGTGGAGTGTTCTGACGCTAGTGTTTTCTTAGGACACGGGGTCAGCCGAGAGCCTCTCTCGCTGATGACAAAGTACCGAGCAATCTGCAGCATATAACGCGTTATATATGAGCGTCCATAATTTCCCGGTCATCATAAGAGGCATGCAGAATAACTGCCAAAAGCTTCTTAAAATAGAACCGTCTCATTCAGGTTGTGATACAAAAGTCTTCATGTGCATGTAGTTTACATTATCACATTATAAGCACCATCAGTCATCTAACGAATAACGATAAGGACCTACAACTTCTGCTAAATCCAGTCCACATGAAGTTAATACTGTCCCGAAAGCCGTAAAAATCCAAGTCCATTCAACGAAAAAAATTAAGCAAGATAACACATAAGCGGCCTCTTTCAATTTTATACTAAATTGGCGACAAAAAAACCTGTAACTCACAGAACTTGTCCTGGAGCAACTTTAGAGAGTGAAATCGATAATACAATATATTAGGGTAGGCTGGCGCGATGAATGAGCCCGCTATTGCAACGCTCGATTATCGACAGCTGCGATGGAGCTCTAGTGCAACGCAATTCATTATTGCGCCTGATATTGGGATACAAGCAAAACTCCTAGAAATCAATTACAACGCAAATGTTAAAATGGAGAAGTTGTCTAAGTCAATTTTTGTGCATTCTTAAAGATTTGGAGCCCGATTTTATGGACAAAACGTGTCATTCAATAGGCAGGTATCGTATCTGCTAAGGAAAATAAATTCTAGCCGTTAAAGTGAGTGTCGGACGGTCGCAAAATGATACGAATAAAATAAACCATACCTTCTTTTATACAAATTATTGGTCCGAGCTGACGGTATTGTGGCAAGATACACCTGTGAGTTAACAAACAATTATTCCCATTTCTCTTTTTATTTCTATTCAGTGGTATCCCACATTTTACCTTGAAATACTCCACCATAATTTCTATACTTTCCAGTTATGAGATTCTTTGAACTATCTTCACGTACGACTTTGCCCACGGCTTGCCATTCCATTAGAATAGTGAGAGTTTTAGCTGCAACAATCGTTGCATTGTATTTTCATTTAGCAATTTTTTTACCAGAGCTGGACTAGCAGCCAACATTGTCCATGCTAATTCAAGACATTTGTCAGCTAAACATTTTATGGCTTTTCTATCATGAACTTGCTGCCTAAAATCCCATTGTAGCAATTATTCCTAAATTTTA